GATTAGTGAAGTATTTCCTTTTCAAAGACGTGCGTCAGGAACTTGCCAGGAAAGGATGTTTGGTCGAAGTGGCCGTTCGAGATGAGATGTATACCATCTGATGCCTTTTTGGAAGCTGATTACAAATCTGCATTCCATATCTGCTAAACGATTCTCTGAGCAGAGTTGTGCAGGTTTTTGACCTGGTCACCCCTATTTTCATCATGTATGTAAGGCACAAGAAACCACCCAAATTCGCACAAATTCCAAATCTGAGGTTGCCTAGGACATCAACAAGTAACGCTGCAGTCATTTCTCATGGGAATATTGTGTTCGCATCGCCGTCTATTTCCGCGTTGCCGTCTATTTGAGCGACTGTGACGCTAGAGAGGACGAAGATGTGCAGGAGCCCGTAGCGCACGACGCAAGCGTTTTGCGCTGAATGAGTGTGATATTCGTGTTCTGGGGATCAAATTAGCCATAGGGGCAAGTTTTTAGCAAAGTCTGAGATTTTGACCAAAATTCGAAACAGTGGGGTAACCATGGGCAAACATCCCTTAAGGCCGCTGGCACTATCCTCGACTAGAATCCCAGTGGGTATTGGAGTATTTTCGCTAAATTTCAAACCTCATTGGTAACAGACGGTCCTGATCACAAGTATGACAATCACTTTTGGCGGCCGTGCCATTTGGCGCCAGTTTGGCGACACAGCATAACGTAACGAATGATGGCACCGGAACGGAACGAATGAGGCATTCAGAAGGTGTTCCTTAAAACTCTTTCAGAATGGCTCCATTTTTTCAGGAGTAACATTTTTCGGCAAGATTGGGTCTCGCAGCTACGTAAGTATGCTTTCAAAAACTGCAGAGAACACGTTCAAAAAATTACAAAACGATCCTTCACCCAAGGATTTGAACCATTGACCACACAAACGTGAGACCGACCACTTATCCACTAGGCCATCACAACACATTTGTTGTTCAATCACGCGTTGTTTGTATCTTTGTGGAGCATTGGCCGGGTTGAACCTACAGCCTTATTGGTCAGCCTACAAACCTCCATAACTTTGTTCGGAGAATCGTTTAGCAGATTTGGAAAGCAGATTCGAAATCACTGTCCAAAGACGCGTCGGTCGGTATACATCTCATTCAAATGGCCACTTCGACCTACCATACTTTCCTGGTTAGAAAGTTGGCACAAAAACTATCAAGTCTGTTGTTCAAATGGGAGCAGCCATAATTCCCCTCACGAAATCAGCTGTGATTTCTTATCTTCGCCCAACGGTCGATGTGCGCGCGTCGTGTCGTGACGGAGGAAACTTGGGCGTTTTTGAATGAACAGAATGGGTGGTTACCATGTCGGACTTCCTATGAACCTAGACTCCTTTATATGTGGGCGGATTCTTTTTAGAACTGTTCCACGTGGTCCTTTACTGACTGATATCCAGCGGATTCGCCTTCTTCGGAACATGGAAGGGTCAACCCGATCGAATTGTGATTATCCAAGCAAGTATTCAGCTTACCCCTCATATCTGACACTACTCAATTGAACACGAAATACATACCTCATGTACCCCATTTAGGTCGGGAGACGAGCAGGAGAATCGTAAGGCTCCGCACACGTCGCGCGGCAGTTTCTGGACGTGCAGTTGTGCTGTTTAGTGGGGCATTGAATTTATCACAACACATTGTTTTGAATAACAATGTTGCTGTGATCTACACTAGAACATAATTCATCAAAAAGAAGTGATTATAGATTCCCCATTGTGAACAGTTTTCACTAGGGATGGTCCTCAAGGAACCAGCCAATGCTCCTCGACCTGGAACAATTCGCCCAAAGTGTCGCAGGACTTTCCGTATTAACCAGTTTTGGAAAATATTTTATTGTATGAGATCACAGTATAATTACAGGGACAAGTATGGTAAGCACTACAATGAACCTGGCTATCTTTCGGTCAAGTGGGCTGGCTGTCAGAATTTGTATGCTTTACTGCCTGCCAGGAATGTTGTTGCCATGTTTGCTGGATCGTACGATTTGATTGGCAAACGTGTCCGGGAAGAGCCATGCCGTCAGGGTGCGTGCAAATCTATCTTTCTAAGGATGTTAGCTGCTTTCAATAACTTTATCCAGCTTGGGAGGAGATGGAACATGACCTGGCCGTCCCTCGACCGACGTTTGACTATGTTCCTGAGAAGTACATTAAGATAAAGGTGAATAATATTGCTTCGCTAAGTTCCGTTTTCTGGGTGAATAATTTATGGAATAAAATCGAGCAGCATTATTGCAGACCTCTGTGTACCATCCGAGTTGCCCGAAGCCCCGTCTTGATGCCTGCGAAGAAAGTGACAGTATGTGCGACTGTCCTCCTTCTGATAGTGATCGATGTGGACCAAACTCTAAATGCACAAACCGCGCAATCTTGCAGGAGTGTCCCGAGGTAATGAAATGTGAAATTTACTTCCTCACGTCAGAATTTTTCTTATTTCTCGTTCCTCGAGCATTTTCGTTTTTTTTTGTTTATGTATTGTTTACCTCAGAAATTGAATTCTCTAACTCATTCATGCCTTTTTAAACTTTGACGGGCCCTAATAACCTTGAAGGGGGGGGGGGGGTTACGCCTGTAAGCGCTTGTCAGTGGGGGTATTGGTGGGTGTGTTGTTTGGGCCTACGGACAACTAAAACTCAATCCCTTTGATGGCGCCAGTTTTCTATTTTTCTCAGCGCTCTCACGTCTGGGCGGAATTCCGCAACCACTATGACCCCCCCTTCCAACTTTTCACGCATAATAAGTGGCTTACTGACCCCGGTGTCCTCTTCGAAAAAATTGATCGGACTCGCGACATGTTTTTTTGTCCCTCTCAATGCCTTCGTAGCCGCAGTTCTTTGTTTCTCTGCGCTCTGGCCTTTCGCAGCAGGACCCCCACCAGAAGTTTTAGTTGTCACGTAACCGTTTTTGCGTTTTTTATTTTGTCTTTTCGCAATCCTGTCTCACCCTGAAAGTCTTGTTAATCCCTTCCTAGTACCCTGTGAATCACTGTGAAGCCTGGTGGAACGGTACTTGATCGTTGGATCGCCATTTCTTCATTTTTCCAGATTTCGGCCGGAATTTCTAGGGTGTTTGACAGGTCATAAAAAGGCTTCTAGGGTGTTAACAAGGTTGTTCGCTACACGAAGAATCCCACAACCTACGAGATTTTTTAGACAAGCCCTTACAGGTGTCCCCCG